TCAAAAATTTCGTAAGTAGGGCCGTTCGTAAGTAGAGGTACCACTGTAATCAATGATTTTTCCCTTAAGAGCACTTGCTGAAATTCTCAAATATATTTTTATTAGATTTGTTTGCCTTCTTGTTATTGAAAGAAAAATTGGTTCAGTCCATCAGTCTAACTTTTAAAACAAACACAGGATTCTATGGCCAAATATTTAAATAAAGATGTCATTACCTAAATGAGAGAAAGAATGAGAGATTAGTGTCATTCAATCCATAAATAACAGTTACCTTGTTTTGCAATCCCAGGTATATCTTCAAATGTAAGTGTTCTCAGTGAAGGTCTCCAGAATGCATAAGACTCTACTAAAGCTTCCAACCCCATCCTAGGCAACACAAGAAGAACATTTTGTGAGATGAGTTACCAAAAATTTGTTCACATTTGCAGCACGGTATGATCTCACTGAATATGATTCACAGATAAAGCTGAAGTGCACTTCAGAGAACATCGAATGAAGGTTGGTTACAAATGCTTTTCTGTTGGAGATGCAACCCTGGATCTGGAATGTAACTCATGCTTTCATTTTGTCCTATTACTGTTACATTTTGGGTTATTATCTACAGGATTATTAATGTGACTCTGGACTGATTGCTGTGTGTGATGATGCATTCTTCTTCTCTCCAAATTCCCCAAACTGCAGCTTTTTAGGGCTTGAGTACAGATAAAAGAATTATTATATGACCCCAGCGGGAGAATTATACATGCTAGTTGCCAGTAATGGACTGGGTGTTTCTTGTCAACGTCTGAATTAGGATTTCCTACAACATCCCATCCCATCCCATCCCATCCCATCCTGACAAATGGGCAAGGAAGATGATTTTCAAGCAATATGGTCAAATTTTTTTAGTTGTTTATAACATAACTTTCCACCAATTTAATCTTTTTTCTTCCTTTTTATAATTTTCATGATTAATTTTGAAGTTATATGATTTTGTTAACAGTGATATATGCATCTATACTTCTGTCAAATCGTTCAGCATAATTTTTAATATAATGTTGAAATGCATGAGTATCTGCAAGCTGAAGCAAAGCTTTGAACTTGAAAATTTCTACTGTACAATAAATAACAGGAAGAAACTATGACTCAGTTTTACTTTTTCCAATTCATGATTTGTCATTCTGTACCAACTGATTCAATTGTTTTAGTTTCTCTTCTTTTAAAAGCTAGAGTTTATATTAAAATAGGGGTGTGCAAATCAGGCCTTCCAAATGTTGCTGAACTATAATGCCAATTACTTGTCACCAGCAGCTATGTTGACAGAGTTTGCTGGAAGACCACATGTTGTGTACCTCTGCTTTAAACCATGATGATTTGGCAAAACATCTTACACAACAAGGACTTGGAGAAAGCTGTATTGCCTACTAAACAAAAGAAGTTCTCGAGTTTGACGTCTTGTTCAGGCTTGAAGAGATTCATGCATAGTCTAATGTTACATGAGAACTTATTTTCTTGCTTATTCATATATTTACAATATAATGTTTCTATTATAATAATCATATCCAACATAATATTAGAACCAAGATAGCACCCAAGCTATGGACCCTGTAGTCATTTCCAGTGAACTTGCTTGTGACTCATAAAAATATGCCAAAGATAAAGGATGCTGGCTTTTCTCTTTGTGGCTGTTGCTAAATCAAATATTTTAAGAACTAAAAATACATCAAGTGCCTCCCAAATATTGTATTTCAGTGGGAACACTTGCTACAATTGCCAGAATGTTAATTTGCCTTTTTATTGCTTAAAGCTTTTTACTGCTTACATGTATACAACTCAAGAGGATGATATACCCATACAAATAAGTGGATCAGGGAAACTCTTTTGGGATGGACTGGCATGATAAGAATTATCAGACATATTCTTGAGATACAGATATTTTCTCTTAACCTACATATTACTGCCAAAGACAGAACACTTAAGCCTACATATAATTACTATTTCATTACTCTGTGTATCTAATAGAACTAAAAAAAAAAATCACCTATTGAAAAGGTATAGAAAATTGCAATCAAAATTATCCCTTTTCTTATGAGAAAATGCTAAAGTAGCTAGGTCTTTTTAATTTAGAAAAAAAGTTTGGGGTAGCAGTTTGCAAAATAAGTGATATGCAGAAAGAGACATTTTTTAGTTTGTCTCATACCACTGGAACTTGGAGTCAACCAATGAAATTGATTGGCAATAGTCTGGATAGAATGACAAAGTACTTCTTTTATAGAATACATAATTAACTTATGGAATTCACTTTCTTTGGAGACACAATCAAACCAGAATTGCAATTTAGCTTAGCAATTTGAAGCAACCAGTATTCTCCCATGACACTGCTTCTCTAAGACAGTGGTGCCAGACTGATCCCAGAAACACTGTAGGAAAGAATTATGAAATATTATATGTGAATTTCAAAAATAGCCTTAATTTTTCAATCCCTGTGGTAATGGGATATTTTTCATTTTTAGTAAAGTACAGATAAAAGCCCATCTCCTGAAGAAGTGAAGCCAAAGTGGTAATTTATACAAGATGCTTTTGAGGAATGTCTACTTGTTATCACCATAATTTATATTTCCAAATGGCCAATTTTATTAACTGTAAGCTATCATATTTTTTCTAAGTAACGAAGAAAATATATGTTTTAACTCCTGGAGTAAAGATTTTTACAACATTGTTTTCTAAAGTCTGTCTGAAAACCTCTGTTTTCAGTAAAGTCTACTTCACAAGATGGTCAGTCACACAAATTATACTTCTCACACAGAAAACTACTGATTTTGATAAACTATGTCTGAGGCTGTAAATAATGTGAACAAAGAAGAATAAAAGTTTTTTCATTAAATGCTTTTGCTAAGCATCCCAAAAGAAGAATGATAGGACAATCAAAGAAAGTGAAACATGTTCTGAAAAGGACAATAAATATGACCTAGAAAGTAGAAACTAAGCTCTATAAATAGACTGAAGGAGATTTACATGTTAAATATTCAGCAGACTGAGTGGGGTTGAGCACTCTTCAAATACCTGAAAGTCTGTCACACAGGAGACAGTCAAGAGCTGTTTTCTATTGTTCCAGAATGCAGGACACAAGTGACAAATTCAAGTTACAGGAAGGCAGATTCCAATTGAATGTCAGAAAAAACTTCCCAACAAGAACAGTTCCAAGTTGGAGCCAGTATTGAAACAGAAAGTGGGCTCCATTTCAATGGATGGTTTTAAGCAGAGATGGGATACTTTAATCTGAATTTATATACTGAGCAGGGAGTTGGCCTCAATGGCCCCTTCCAACTTTATCAATCTATACCAAATTTTAACTCCCAAACGACACACAACTTAGATACACTAGTATTGCTCCAAATAGTTATGCACCTTCATACATACCTTGTAGTGTCTGTGCAGTGCTCCAGCAACAAAAGAAGAAAAACAAGTCTTGATGAAAGCAAACTTAAATTACTTTGAAATGTAAAGATGAGAAATATACTTCAATACAAATTTCAGGTAAGTATGTCTAAGATTGCTAGTTTTACAATGCAATTTTGTGTAATTAAACATGGATCTCTTACATAGAATTCCCAAAACCCACATCGAAGCAGAATTCTGGGGAAAGCCACAATAGTTATAAAACCATCTTTTACAGTGTGGATGTAAAAATTCTACTAATGCCCTAATCTAAATAATGCTTTGTGAAAGAGAAAGTGAAGTTGCAGGTTCAGCTTTTTTAGTTTTAACAAATAGACAGATTGTATTAACAATGGCCAAAACACAGTAAATGTCAAAAAGTTTACCTGTTGCGCCCAGAATCTCTAAATCCTTTTGCAAATGGATTTCTATCAATCTTGAGTCTGGTGATCTATAAAGATAACATAGAAAATGTGGAGACCTATAAAATGCAGGAATTTAAAACCACATAATCTAATATTCAGTAATTTTTAAAGTCACACATAGAAAAACTACATAAAAATTGAATTACCACCATTAAATAATAATACAAGCATCTTCTTTAAATACATGCCCTAAAGTACTGTGTATTAAATATATCATATTATTATTTGGTTTAATAAAACTAATTGGACATAGTCCAATGGAAAGTTAATTCCTGTAAAAGTTCATAGGGAAAAAAGCTAGATATAGCAGCAAATTTCATTTTAATTGAATGGATTTTTCTACCACTAGCTTTACTACTATCCATTACGTTGTGGGTGTTTACTCTCCACTGTAAAGGCCAGCGGGTGACTTGGTCATGTATCTATGACAAAATAGACTTAAACTTCCAAAGATCTCCTTGTAGTTTTATAACTGAACAACCAGATTTGAAAATAAGTAAATCATATGCCAGTCTTGCTACTCCACCTAGTTTTATACTGATACCCACCTGCTACTTCCAGGTAGAGTGGCTTAACTGATACCTATACAACTTGGAAGGGGAAAGGGTGGTTAATCTGATCGTCTCACATTGTGCAAGGTTTTTAAGAGACTGGCACAACTTTTTCCAGCCCAGCACTCAAATAAAGTAAGAGTAATAATTTTTGGTTGCAAGGTACTTTGTTAAGTTTTCTAAGCTGCAACAGGGAAAGGTAAGAACAGTGTTACTGAATGGATATATAGATTGCTTGCTGGCTGTATGAAAAGGAGATGGGAAAGACCAATGGTGGGACCAGCATTTGATTTACTGATTTCATCAGAAAGCCAAGTTTGTTTAACAGAAACTCATTATCCCTTATTTAGACTGCTAACAGATCTATGCTGCAAAAACAGGTAAACACTAAATGGCAGGAGAGATGCAGAAAACTTTAAACTCACTCCTGTCATCTAGTATTTTTGCAGCCCAGATCAGGAAACCTTGATTTTATTATCTTCCCCTAAGCATTACTGAATTTATGTGTCACAAGAGTGCAGAACAGTGTTTTAGCCTAAGGAATGAGGATAAAAATCCTAAATAAGCACCTAAGATGTGTGCAAGGGCTTATTCATTTGTTTAATGAATAAAGGCTCTATTCATTGCCCATAGGTAAATGAATACAAAGAAAGTTAAAAAAATACATTCCATTATTGTGAATTACTTCCATAATCTTCACTTTTTATCACTTTTCCCCTTACTGTATAAAGATTAAACAAGCCAAAACTCTTACCAAACAATCATAACTGATCATGATCCAAGAGCTGCTTCTAAAAGTCCCTCGTATTTCAAAAACGCATTTTTATTTTTTTATTTATATATCAAATTTGTCATCACCCATCTCACTGAAATGACTCTGGGCGGTTTACAAAATAGTTAACATCAATTAAAATTACAATATACACTAATCTTAATAGAAAATAAATAGATCCAAGGATAGATATAAAATTTGCAGTCACCCAGGGAGCATCATCAAGGTACCAGCCAGTCCCAGGATTGGGTAAGATTGTTGTCACCCCACGCAAGCTGGTAGAGCCAGGTCTTTAATCCTTTCCGGAAAGCCTGGAGGGTAGGGGCCTGCCGCACCTCTGGGGGGAGAATATTCCAAAGGGCGGGGGCAACGGCAGAGAACACTCTCCTTCTAGGCCCCGCCAGCCGACATTCTCTCACTGATGGGGTCCGCAACATGCCCTCTCTCCCTGACCTGGTGGGAAGGGTTGATGTGACAGGGGTGAGATGGTCCCTCAGGTAACCTTGCTATATGGTTAGAGCTCCTAGTCAAGAAATTCAACTCTTGACTCCTTTAATATGCAGAATTAATTGCTTTGTTCTTTGGAGCACATTTTTTATCACAGATATTTAAGTTACAATCATGTACACACTCATCTGGCAGTAGATCTCATTGAATTCAATGGACTTTACATCTGAGTTAGTATGTACATATAACACATTGTTGAAGATATTAAACAAGAAAACACAAAACCACCACAAAGTAGCAGAATAAAGTCGTTTTCAACTATGATGCAACTGCAGTGCTGATATACTGTTTTTAAGCAAACATTTATGTTTGATTTTTAATATGAAGTTAAAGCTGCTTAAAAACTAGTGTATTTTTAGGCAGTTAATACAGCTAAACCATTTAGAAGGAATTTTTAAAAATTATCTCTATTTCCATTTCTATATGGATGTAAGACAATGTAATTTAAATTTAAATTTAATTTTAATTTAAATTAAATAATGCATTTAAATTATTTGAAGTTCTTGAGATAAGAAGCACTACATCTGTAGAATATATAACGATTTAAAGCTATAAGTCTGTTTCAGTCAGGTTTTTTGACCCAAGTAGGCCTGGATGGGAAGTAATCTTATTAGCATTTATGAAACTCAGCAGCAGTTTTTAGTACTAAAGTCAATTGAATTTTCTGGACCACTTATCTGGCTGGGCTTAGAAGACATAATATTTTTGGTAGTTGCAGCATTCCTGGAAGAACAATCTCAGGAAGTGAATTTGAGGGATACAAACTCCATGCTTTATAGATTATTATAAAATTGTTCAGAAAATCACTCAAAGATTTGGGCCACTTTGTCATTAGTATGCTATGCTATCTGTTTCCGCATACTAGATTATGGACACTGTGGAACTCTAGAGGTTATCTGGGTGGATTTAAATGAATAGACCAAGACTAAATCAAAGTAAGACAGAGGTATTAAGGGGAAGGAAATAAAGTATTCTAGGTGGAAGTTTAGTATAGCACAATAAACAGTGTGTACTAGAGATCCTAACTCAGGAAGGCAAATATGCTGTGATATGGTGTCATAGGCAACACTTGATGAATGTTAGCTATGTTTGTCACATAGCACTGGAAAACCTATTCAAGAGAAAAGATGGAGGGATCGCACTATACATGAAGAATAGATGTATTTGCATAGACATGCAGGGATTGGAGCATGGAAATCCTATTGAAAGTGTTGGGGAAGAAAAAAAGGAGAAGCAAAAATTATACCGTTGTGGGAACTTATCTTAGACTGCCTCGGCAAACAGAAGATGCACATGAGGCATTTTTGTATCAGATGACTAGGGTTTTTTTTCCTTTGGAAGAGGCATGCAATAGTAGAGAGATTTCAATTAACCTGACATCTGCCAGGAATCTAATTTTCCCAAGAGTATCTTGGACATAATTTTCACCAAGAGGGAGGAAGACATGAAGGTGACTGGTACCTTAGGGGAAAGTGTAATGGGATGTGAGAATAACCTTGGGAGACAGGTGGAAGAGCCACAGCCTAGACAATGGTCTGATAAGAGAAATCTGAGTCTGAAGAAGGGATGGGGGTGGAGAAAGCATCTCAGAAGAGACCTTCCCTAATTCTATTGAAAGTAAAGACAAGGGAGGGGGGAAGGGCTTTCAGACTTGCAGAATTCTGTTACTGTAACCTTACAATAAAGGTAGTATTAGTACCCATGGTTTTGCTTTCCTATCTGGACTACCTCAAAGAACTGATATCAATCTTGCAAGCCCTTCCCCCATCCCTTGCCTTTACTTTCCAGAGAACTAGGAGGGTCAGGCAGTAGAACAGGCAGCCACATGAAGTGGCAAGTTTTTCTTTGTTGGAGGACTTCATACAGAAGCTGGATGGTCATATGGAGTAAACCAGATAGGAATCAGATGAGCTAATTCTACTTTGTTGTAAAGCTACATTGACAGAATCTTGGAAGTCTGAAAGTACCATTCTCTTCCCCCCCCCCCCCCCCCCTT